GGGAGAGAGAAAGAGAGAGAGAAGCGGCGAGGTAACGCGCGCCCGTAACGCGTAATTCCGCGTTCGATCTTGACCGACGACTCGGCGCGGTGGCGGCGGCGGCGGCGGTGGCAACGACGACGCACGCCGAGCGTCTTGGCGCGCAGCGGACCGCGCGGCGCGCGTGCCGCGTCGCGTCGCGCGATCTCGCTCGGGAGATTCGGCGACGCCTGGGACCCGACGCGACGCGACGCGGCGCGTCGCGTCGCGAACAGACGGCGGGCGGGCTGGCTGACCGGCCAGCGATGGCGGTCAGCTGCGCCCGTGGGAGACTCGCGAAAACCGCGAAAGCCGGGCATCCCTGTTCCTCCGCCGCGTGTAGTATGTGTACGTATATGTGCGCGCGTGCATGCGTGCGCGACGCACGCGAGAGGCGTACGCGTGCACCGCGGACTCGTACGCAAGGTTAGTCGCGGTTCCCGGAAGGAAGGAAGGAAGGAAAGAAAGGGACCGTGTCGTCGAGCAGAAAGAGATCGGAAGGACAAACATCGGAAGTAGAGAGACGGAAGGAAGGGGGGGGGAAGGTCGCGCGGAATCGAGGAGGAGCGGAGATACATCCGCGGGGCAACTTACCCGCCGAGTCCGACGTCCCCTGGAACGGATCGAGCTTGGGCCGCTTCGGCGGAGGCCCGTCCACCAGGTGGTCGGCCATGGCTCCTCCGCGCGGCTGTTATCTTTCTTCCGTAATAACCTAACCTCTCGCTCTCCGCTCTTCCTTCCCACTCGCGCCCGTCTCTCGTTGATCCTTGTCGAGCGGCAGCGAGCGGGGCAGGCAGGCGCGCGCGCGCGCGCCCGCGCACACACAGGTAGCACACGACCGCGTCCGGCCGTACGCGCGCCGTAGACGGACGGCGCCGCGCGGCACCGCGGCTAGCTGGGACGTAGATGCCCGGTTGGCCTGTCTCCTCAACTAGAAGGCCACCGTCCCCGTCCTGATCGCTGGCGCTCGCGCCGCTGCTCTCGCCGTCGCTCTCGATCCTACCGTTGACGATGTGCCCGCCGATGATGATGACGACGATGACGATGATACGGCTACCACTCGCCCCCTGCCGCCGGCGGAGCCGCGTAACAATTTCACCGTACCGCAATCGTACCCGCGCGCACAACAACAACAACAATGGGAACCGCGGCGCGTGGAGCGTCCCCGTGTAGCATACTGGGGTGCACGGTCAACCATTGGGCATCGTAGGGATCGGGGTACGTCGAACCCCCCCGGCGTCACAACCCGCGAGCGCACGGGCAGGCAAACAGGTAACACGCACACGCGCGCACAACGCACCAACACCAGCGGCCACCAGCGGCACCACCGTGGCAGCGACGGCGACGACGGCGGCGACGGCGACGGCGACCACGGCGACGAGTAATGTCTGATGCTGCTCCCTGTCGCTCTCTCGCGCTCGCCTCCTCTCCGGCGAACGACAACGGGACGACGGCTGCCGCGCCGCGTCGCCGGCGGGACGGGACGGCAGATCAGCGCGCTGGAAGCGAGAGCGACGTTCGACGGCGGCGGCGGCGACGACGGCGGCGGCGGCGGCGGCGACGACTACGACGACGACGACGACGACGACGACGACGACGGCGGCGGCGGCGGCGGCGGCAATGTCGGCCGCCCCGAGCTGCGGGAAAACGGATGAGCGCGCGACGCGACCTTACTCGCGCCTCCTCGTCTCGTCTCGTCTCGATTCACCTCGACTCGCACTCGCGGCTCCGACGCACCGCCGAATCTCTCGCGCTCCCGCTCTCACTCTCGGCTCCCGCTCACACTCTCTCCTTCTTCCTCTCACTCTCTCTCTTTCTCTCTCGCGCGCGCTCTCGCGCTCTCTGTCTCTCTCTCTCACTCTCCTCCTCACCCTCGGCACTTGTCTATCCTCGTAAAATACAACAATCGTATGTATATCGCCGCGGTCGTACGTGCTCTCGGCACGACGACTCGCTAAACGACTGGCTGCGCGCACGGCGCTAGCTCACGGCGACGATGTCGCTCCCGAGGCCCTCTGGTACCATCTTCCTCTCCTCTTCTCTCTCGCCTCGGTACACTGCGACACACGGGGCGCGCGAACGACCAGCGGGAAATGAGCGTTTATCCCCGCGCACTCGCGCGCGATATCGGGACGCGAGCAAGCGAACGCGATCGCGGGTATCGGCACGCTCGCGGCCGCCCGTGCCCGCCACAGAAATTCGCTCGGGAAAACCGATCGCGGGAGCCCACCGTTACCGCACGGGCATCGGCGAACGTTAGCTAACGTAAAATGGCGGCCGCTGTTGACGAGTTTTTCTACGCTTGTCAGAATATGCCCCGTCTTCTGACTCGGCGACAATGGCCGTGGCACTAGACCGCGCCGGCGATTGGCCGAGCCGGTCACGTGACGCGCCGGCCGCGCGCCATTGGCCGGCGCCGGGTTCGCGGGGGACAGGAACGCCGCGTCTACGCACACGCCGCCTGTCGGCCGAGCCTCCGCCGCGCACCGCTCGCTTCCGTGGCGCCCTGGCGCCGTAGCGCCGCCGATCATGGCCGTTTACCGACCCGACGCGCTCGTCCCGTTCCGACTCCCCGGCAGTGATCGGAGCCCGGAGCGCGATCGCGAGCCCCGCCGCGAGGACCCTGAGCCGTAGACCGCGCCGCGCCGGCCGACGCGGCGACCGAACGAGCGGCGCCCCGAGGATCGCCAGAGCTGCCTGTCGAGAGCATTTTTTTCCAACCACCCGGACGGCGTCTTTCTCTCCGATTCCTCTCGCCTTCGATCCCGCCGGGGGGGACGAGGCCCGTGTGAAAATTGCACGCAATGACAGAAGTTTTGCCCGAGTGACTGCCCTTTACCAGACGCGAGAGTCCGTGCTCGCCCACGAGTTCTCCCTATGCCTGCGTCCGTCGAGTCGCGCTCGGGTCCCGGGCTCGGGCCCGGTCTACGACGGGTTGCTCCAAGTCGCGGCTAGATGTTGATCCTTTTCCTTGCCGGGTGGAAGAAAAGGGACCGGCGTGTAGCTCCGGCTTCTGACCGACGACTAACGACTCGTTGCGGACCGGGTCCCGCGCTGGCGATCTTTATTTCTAATCGCGGCGTAGGGCGAACTTTATCGCCCCGTTATCGCATTGTCGGAGAGGAAGGTGACGTAACGGAGCAACACATGTCTTGTATGCAAACACATCTTTGTTATTCTTCTTACAAGTCCGTTTGCAAAATTACGTCGCAGGGAGTAACTTCGCGTCAACGTGATCGGAATTATTGTACTCCGTGTTACGTCGTAACGTCCACTTATACGGTAGAAATGGAGGATTGCGACTGAAGTTGTACGCGTAAGAGATCTGACGGTGCAGATTTATGCACATCCGAGCTACCCAAAGTACGTCGTCTATTGCCGGAGTTGGGAGTTTGTTACACGGTGGTTTCACGACGGATACATTTGGTGAAAAGTAGGCCCTGATGTTCGTGGTGTGATTCATCACTGCTGTCATCGTCCCAAGTTGACTCTTAAGCCCAGTCGACAATGAGCCGTTGGTCCGAAGTCGGAACTGTAGGGGTCGGTCCTTTTTCTTTCACCCAGAAAGCGGAACGAACACTCAAGTTTTGAGCGCCAACACTCGATTGTCCGAGTTTACGGTCAAATCTGGGCGTAAACGCCCAGATTTAAATATTTACACTCGGGTTTTGAGTGTCAACATACGATTGTCCGAATTTACTCGCGTAAGTATTTAAATCTGGGTGTTTACGCCCAAATTTGAGAGGAGACTCGGACAATCGAGCGTTAACGCTCAAAACTTGAGTGCTCTTTCCGTAAGGGAGGACTGATAGTTCTGACTTCTGGCTAACAACTCGTCGTAGACTGGGCCTTATTCAGCGGATGACTTTGTAAAGTAGATAGTCTTGGCGGGTTCCGATGCCTCTGGCATAACAGTATCTACATCCAAAGGTACAAGCTCTCGAGTTACGATGAGATATACCCAGCAGTTGCTGTTGTCGCTGCACTTGTAGTTAGCGTGTCTCTCGTCCATGTTCGACGAATCGCTCTTCAATACCGATTAGCCTTAAAAAATATTATTTTATTGCTTCCGAAGAAGTTGTACGTACGTGTGTATGTAATTTTCCAGCAAGAAACATAGGGTCTGTTCTTTAGAGCTGTCCCTTTCTCTCCATGTTAGAAGGAGAAAGGTCTGATGCGGCCAGTTCAGCTATAAAGAACAGACCCACAGATGACACGCTGTAACACTTTAAATAATTTCTTTTCTTTTTACCCGTGTCGGCTCCGGATTGAAGCCGGGAGTCAAGAATTAAGCAAAATTAAATAATTTCATCCTCGTTTGTCGAGATAAAATAAAATAATTCGTTCTTTTAATCGTGTCTCTTGCTGAAAATCTCCACTCCACAAAATACACGCGTACAAAACTAGACATTGTCTGATCAAAAAGGTATAGTATTAATGGTGAAAGATTTGGAACTACAAGAGGCCGACTTTGACGAATCGACCACGACGAATCGATTCAAGTGAATCTTCCGACGTCGAAGAAATTACGTACCACGTTACTTTTGCGAATCAGACAGAATCTCACGGCCAGCAGCTGATAATATTCCGACCGGCAGTCAGCCATCCCGTCGCGTTCCTTTACATCGCGCGTAACTATCGAATTGCCGCTAATCGATTGATATCGCGCGAAACCTACGAAAATAATCAAATATGTAACGAGGCGCAAGTTTCGAACGAGCACGCGCAACGGACAATTGAATTCTCGCTAACAGTTCGCTAACGAAACGATTCCTTGAGATCCGGAGCGACGGAGAGACGCCACGCGCTCGACGGGATCACATCCGATCCATCGTCCGTTCATGAAACCACACGGTCCGAGAGTCTTCCCAGTGAGAAATGATTCGAAGCGATGTTGAATCGACACCGTCGATCAAATTGACGTCTACTCGACATCGATCGACGAGTCTTTTCTCGCTATTAACCACGGTTGGAAGAGTTTATAAAAGTATCTAGTTACAGTTTTTTTCGCTAAAAATGTAACTAGTTACAGTTACAAGTTACCAATTCTAAAAAGTAACGCGTTACAGTTAGAGTTACTCAAAAAGTAACGAATCGTTACCTCGCAGTTACTTTCTCGCAATGAAAATAAAAATATCAAATCTGCGTTTGAATTATAAAGCGCCGATAAAAGCATTTATGTGCAAATGCAAGACCTATCGCGATCTGTAGAGGTTTAAAAAATATATAAAGTAACTATTAAATTAGTTATCGAAAAAATGTAACTGAGTTAAGTTACAGTTACAGATGGAGAGAAAGTAACGAAGTAGCCGGAACGTTTGACATATTAAACTTATCGATATTTATTTTGAAAAACAATTCAACATGCGTGTTTTGTCTCTCCATCTTTTTATAAACACAATGTCGTCATATGCTCCTAACGCCTTATCGTAATTATTAATTTATCTCAAAGGAGCTTATTAATTAATATACGTAACGAAGTTAAGTTAGAGTTACCAAAAGGAAGTAACTGTAACTGTAACTTCGTTACAAGTAACGAGTTAAGGGCCAGTTTCACAAGAGTCGGTTAACTGATAACCAGAGTTCAGTCAACTATCTTATTCTATCTTGTTCTCTAAGAAGAGACAGAGAATCAATTAACCGTCAGCAGTTAACCGACCTTTGTGAAACTGGCCCTAAGCCAGCGGCACACGATACTATTTTTCCTACTGGATTGCTTATGAGAGCCAATCAGGATTTAGCTTTAAGTCACCTGGTCGAAAGCTCTGCATCCTGATTCGCTCTCGTAAGCAATCCAGTAGGAAAAATAGTATCGTGTACTGTTTGCTTTAAAGCCTTGTGTCCACGATCCAAGAACTTGGTCCAAGATTCTAGTTTCGAGAAATGTGTAGCCAATCACCTTGCAGCTTTTATGGAATAGCTGCAGGTTGATTGACTTTGACCAAGTTCTTGGATCGTGGACACAAGGCTTAAGCCAACGGCACACGATACTATTTTTCCTACTAGATTCCTTAGGCCCGTATCAGACTACAGATTGAGATTGGGATTAGATTGAAATTTGACCAATAAGAGTAAAGGTCACTAAACTTGAGATTAGCAAACTTTACTGTGATTGGTCAAATTTCAATCTAATCCCAATCTTAATCCGTAGTCTGATACAGGCTTTACGAGAGCCAATCAGGACTCAGCTTTGATTCACTGATCGAAAGCTCTGTATCCTGATTCGCTCTCGTAAGCAATCCAGTAGGAAAAATAGTATCGTGTACTGTTTGCTTTAAACTCTGTAACCTTATTGGTTCTCGTAAGCAATCTAGTAGGAAAAATAGTATCGTGCGCCGTTTGCTTTACTTTCCAACCCTGCTAATAACATAGTACGACTAGCAGGTCCACTCTCTGCCGGCCCCTTTGATCTTTGCGGTCCCGATCACGTGGTATTCTGCCATACGCCCGGGCAGAATTCAGCGACATGTGTGTGTACGCGTACTCGTCAAAGCCACACTATCGCACGTACAACTTTTCTCCCATTGGTCTGCCCAGAGCAATGTCGGATGCGCAGAAGGGGTCGACGCGAAACGAAACGAATGACGGAGTGGACCTACTAGTTATACTATGCTATTAACGAATCGCCGCGCGTTGACAGCGGCCACTGCGCGGCGGACGCGAGTCCGCTCGCCGGTAGCCTTCGGTCCCCGCGCACCCGCTCGCTCGCGGAGTCGGGAAAACCGATCGTCAGATTCTCCACGGTCGCACGTGCACCGGCTGACGTAAAATGGCGG